CGACAAGTCCCGCATACGCTCTGGTATCCTCTCTCGATCCCCGTCAGAGCGAAGCAACAGCAAATTTTCCACAAGCGGCACCAACTCACCTGTGCCGTCCGCTTCAGCTTCAGCTTCGGCTTCGGCCCCTTCAGCGTCAGAAGACGAGGGCGAGAGCGCTCGCATACTCGCTGCTGCAAGATCCAGAAGGGCAAGGTTGGACAATCTCAGCGCCAACAGCTCCGAAGCTCACCTTGCACGCACACGTAGACTCGATACGAGTGGCTCTCTTGCTCTCGGAGGCACCACATCTGGCCCCACAACGCCTACAGCAATGACGGCAGCTACTTCGACCAGCAGCTCCCCCTCTGCGGCCTTACCCAGTGCCCTCCACTCCATTCACACGAGCCATCCCTTCTCTGAGTACGCAGGGCGCGAAGCTGCTTGTTTAGCGGAAGCCATTCGGGGAGCTGGTGAAGCAAGTGCAACACACATCGGTGGCTCGTACTCTGGAGCTGGCATGTATGCGCCTCCACTTTCTGCAGCTAGCTCAGCATCTGGAGGTTATCGAAACGAAAGTCAACCTCTTTCTAGGCCGAGACTACCTGCTGGAGGCGCATGGAGGTCTGGCGAGTCGAGCGCGGCAAACAGCTACGCGAGCTCCGTAGCCTCTGGGTCTGGTTCCAATCGCAGGCAGGGTGCTATGCGTCAAGGCAGCGGAGGAGAAATGAGCGCCAGCGATGATGGAGTTCTGAGCGGCGCGAATCTAGCTCGAGCCAAGAGCGTCAGCAGCGTTAGCAGCGTGACGAGTTCTAGCAGCATGGAGGCTGTCCCCTTCCGAGCAGCGCCCTTAGGAGGGGTTCGAGAAGGTTTCGGAGGGTTCAATGCCAGAGCAGCTGCTCAATCCCGCACGCTGCCTCGCTCTGCTGGATCAGCTTTAATAGGCTCTGGCTGGCCAGCTCGAAGATCAGAAGAGGACGCGGAGCCTTCGCAGACCAATGCGTCGCTAGTCGCTCTGAGTCCTACGAAATTGAAGCATACTCCGAAAGGCCCCTCTGATGCGTGGTTGTTCCGCAACGCGCCTGGACTTGGCAGCACTAGGGGAGCTAGACCGATTCCTGGAGCTCCTTCGAGCTCTATCGAGCCGCTGCGCTCGCTCTTCGCGCCTTCGCTTGGACTCTCGCCGCCCGATGGAGATTCAGCACCTTCCACATCTCCGACGCGCACGAGAGCGAGTTCGGCGATCCGCAGCAAGCTCGCCAAGAGCGCTGGAAAGCTGGGACTCAAGCCGCTGACCGTAATGCCCAACTCTGGTCATGGTCAAGGGTCGCCTGCTATCGCTTCATTGCACTCTAGCAATCCCGTCGAGCGGATTGGCGCCGTGCTTAACCAAGCTGCATCGGGCTCATCCAGCACGCCAAAGACGGCTGAAGACTCCCTGGCCCTGCTGACTCCTGTACCGGACACCTACTTTGCGCATTCTGGACCCAGAGATGGCTCTTCCTCTTTCTTGCCGGAAAGCATGATGCGTACCAGCAGCGTCACGAACGCGCCTCTGGTTGTACCCAAGCATCCGCCTGGACCACCAGGAACGGGACCACCCCCTTCGCCCGGCCTCATCGGTATGGCCAGTCCTTCCTTCATGCTCCGAACAGCCAGTCCTCGTATCAGCCCTCGGGAGCTGGCGGATGACGTCTTGAATGATGCTCATGGACACCATTTGAGGGGAGGCGCATCAGCGGAGCCAGGTTCTCAAGCAAATGATACAGCGGCGTCTCCCTCGTCCGCCGCACTTCAGCGCGATGACACTCTGACACCGGAGGATTCAGCCATCCAGGCGATGTTCCTCGCGCAGCACAGGTCAGCTTCTGCTTCCACTATAGGACCTGGTCTGACGCCAGCCCAGCTTGTCCAGCAGCAAGCACAAGCCGGAGTGGCCG